AGATCCCTGGGTCTGGAGGCAGAAAGATCTGAGTTCAAATCCTGCCTCAAATGCTTACTTGCTGTTGGATTCTGAGCAAATTATTTAACCTCTGTCTGCCTCTGTTTCCTCACTTGTAAAATTGGGGGTATTAGCACCTACCTCACAGCATTGTTGTGAGGATCAAATGAGAAAGTATTTGTAAAGTGCTTAGCACAGTGCGTGGCACATAGTAGACGCTTGATAAATGCTTATTCTTCTTCTTCCCTATCCCCAGGTACTCTTCCAGTGATCCCTTTATTACTCAGTCCAATGACTTTTTCTGAATCCTAATTCTGCTTTTCCTATCCATAGTCTTGGGTACTTTTGCCTACCCCATCCTTCTGAATACTTTCTCCTTGAATTTTTGTGGTATTTTTCTATGTGATTCTTTTCCTACAATTTGACCTATTTTCAGCCTCCTTTGCAGGATCATCACGCATGTTTTGGAACAGAGCCCTTCTCTCTCTGTGTATCTCTCTGTCTCTCCCTCCCTCCTGCGTTTCCCTCTCTGCCCCATTCTCTTCTTCTCCCCTCCTTCTCTTCCTCCTTCCCTCCCCTGCTTCCTCAGTTGTTTCCACACACTGTACACACACAAAGTCAAGGTACTCTGTTATGGTTCAGTGACTTCCTCTTGCCCTGGTGCACACTCTTTTTCTATGCTGGAGTGCTCCAAGTAGGGTATGCTCCTGGCCAGACCCTGTCCTCATGGTTCTGTATCTCTCCCGGGCTGAAAAATGACTTGTGATATTCTTGAATTTCATGATTAAGATTCTTCTTGTCACATTTTAAAAATCTGTTTGGAAGAAGTTTTTGTTTCTTTTGGGTTTTTTGGGTGGAGGCAAGAGGAGAAGGGGGATTACTCACTGTAATTCTTCTTGCTATTCTGCCATGTTGGTTTTATGGATACCAATAAAAGCATAATAGCTAGTCCTTACCCTCAAGGAGCTTACAGTTAAATGGGAGAAGAAAATGGTAACTGGAAAGTAAGGTGAAGCCAGGCAGTGGTCTACAGAAGGTGGCATGGCTAGCGATGTCTAGAAAGTGTTGTGAAGACCTGAAATGCAATAAAATAAGACCAAAACTGACCTTTCAAAGCCTCGGGAGGTTCAAGGGGTAGAATTCAAGTATTTGGTGGGGAAGGAGTAGAGGTGATGGCCCAGATAGAAATGGCATGGCTGGAGATTCTGGAAAGCACAATAGTCCAAATACTGTTATACCCATTCCACAGATGAGCAACTAACTTGCCAAAGGCCTGATAAATTGCAAAAGCCTGGACTGGATTGACCAAATAGTCTAAAGGGACTAAATAAGCTTGATCTGACTGTTCTGATACTGAATCCAAAGCCCTTTTATACTATAGCACAAGACAAGGCAAGGCAAAAAACAAGCATATATTAAGTACTTATTGTGTGCCAGGAACTATGCTAAACACATGGAATGTAAACTGTTGTTTGTCCTTTGTTTTCAAAGAGGACCAATGACATCAAAGGTCATGTCTTGACTTGTATGTGAATTGGATGTCCTGGGATGCAGTGGATGATCTTAGCGTCTTTGTTGCCTGACCAAACTCTAAGCATTCCACAGCACCTGTTTCAACTGCCTTCATGGCCATTGGAACAAACTGTTCTCATCTGTCCATTCCACTGAAGAAAGTCTTCACATTCCTGGAGTAGACATCCACTGACAGGTCTGAGGCCTTTTGGTTACCCTCAACCCTGGTTTAGCCCATCTCCCAAGAGGGTTTACCAGGCCATAGCCACTACACATCTTACACATCTTGGAGCCAGAATTGGGTAAATCAGGTGGACACCAAAGGTGGATGAGGAGGCACAAAAAGGGTTCAGCAAGCCCTTTCATCAGAGATACCCATCCTCTCGAACACCCCTTCTGCTCCTGGGAAACAAATACAAACAAAAAGATGGCTCCCTCAAGGAGCTTACAAATCCAATGAGAAAAGACAACTAGCAAAAGGGATCTAGAAAGAGGGGAAAGGGGAATAAGGGAAGTACCTAAGGATATATGGTGTTGAAGTCTGGAAAGTCAGAAGTATAGCCAGCAGGAGAATGAAGGTTGACCGACCAGTGCCCCTCCACAAAATGGAGGCCCCAAGAGGCACTCACCAATGCGAAAAGGGGGCTGGCATAGGCAAAAGGTGTTCCAGGGCGAGATAGCAGATGAGGCATGATGTTGAAGTTCAGAAAGTCAGAAGTACTTTTGTAGGAAAATGCTGTTTCGTTTTCTGTTATCTCTGTGTGTGTGTGTGTGTGTGTGTGTGTGTGTGTGTGTGTGTGTGTGT